CAATCTTTAAACTTATTAAGTTATTACTAGCACGCATTTCTTTACTGTTCTGCTGACCCCGTTTCGGAGTTTGAATATGAGGGACTGTTTAGTAGAAAACGTGGTGTTATGCTGACTGACTTGCCGGATGTTCATAGGTTAAGCTACGTTTGTTACGGTCGAATGATGATGGCTGGATTTTTATATGGCTTATTTACTCCAAAAAATATATATCTTTAATAACTCGAAATAGTCTAGTTGAAAATTGTAAGTCGGAGTACATTTATTGATGATGCCAAATTTCCTTTGATGCCAAGCTGTGATGATAATAATTTCGAGTAGGATTGAATTTTTATAGAGGATCTTTTGACATATTCATTTTTGCGCTAGAGGTTCTGTAAGACAATTTAAGTCTAATAGACGTCCGCAACATTGCGCCTATAAAGAACTACACCTTTTCTGTGGTATAAATATTTGACGTCTCATAATGGTAGCTAGTTCATACCCGCGACTCTATCCACGTAACATTTGATTATCGCTATGTAAAAATAATATTACATCAGCTACCTACCAATAAAATTCTGGTCGAAATCGGTCCAGCCATTCCAAAGATTAGCTTGAGGAAACAGACACTACAGAACAGTACGTACCATATAATATATGAATGTAGTAAAATACTACTGACAGACACTTCAATTTTATCTATATGAAAAGATTAAAAAAGAAACTTTGCAGCTCCATGTGGGAGGATGTTTATAAATAAAATTTTCACATAGGCAACACAAAGGCCCGGAAATGCCCGGCAGACTAAACAAATACACTTAACCTCCAGATAAACCTGTATGTGTATAAAAATAGCAACATTATTTAGCCATATCATTTATTTATTTTTAAAACTGTTAATTATTATTGTATTAACATCTTTGTAATAAACATTGTTTTGCCAAATTTTTACGTGGACGAAACTTTGACACCCGTTTCCTATTTTTGTTTTTTGATTAAGTTTAAAGGTACTTAATTAATAGTTATTACATTAATTATGTCTTTGGTAAAGTAAATAATTTGTCTCCGCTATCTAAACTATGACTATATTTGTTTTTTTTTCAGCGATTTGTAAATTTTTTTTCCAATTCTTCTGGTAATATGTTTTCTTTATCTAGATTTAATTTAAAAATATATATAAATAAAATTGCACTCTGATGATTTGACAAAGAAAAATAAAGACAATATTTAGAATAAATAATATAAATCTAGAAAGCATCCACACCAAAATTATATTAAATATGTTTTTAATTAAAAAAGCTGATTTAGAATGGGTACTCTCCTATCACACTTTAAAGCCAGCTTTCGAGAATGATCAGGGATGTCTACAAAATTAAAAAATTACATCATATTCAATACAAAATAGTCTAACAAATCGTATTTGTTTATAACAACACTGCTCGGCTCCTATTGGTCATAGGGTGCTGTTTCATAGCCTATTGCACTCAGGAACATTTAAGCTATCTATCAGTCAAAGAATTTTAGAAATCCGTCCAGCGTCCAACTAAAGATTACCCCTTCCATACAAACTTAATTTTACCTCTTTATGATTATTAGTATAGAAGAAATCAAAGTCAGTTGGAAGTTAAAAACGAGTATTTCGTAATATCCAGTCTTATGGACAGCTATTACAAAATCCAGCCTTCGAAACAACAACAAGGTCGAATAGAATGTATACATTTTGTATCATTTGCATTATTTCTTTAATGATTTATTTAAAAAAAATCCCTTTCCGCACATTATTTTGCTGAATTTGGATAGCTAATTAGGTAGGACTCTAATTAGTGATATGAATGTAAATTCGTATTTCGTATGAAAATACAATTTTTTATTATTAATTTGATTTGCGTACAAAATATATTGAGATTTTTTTACGTAAGTTCTTATTTTAGTTTAAAAATATTTTAGTAATATGCTATTACTGAGTAGTGTATTTTAATAATGGGTCATTTATTTTTGTTCATGATTAAAAAAAAACTCGAGAAAATAAACTAAAAATTATTTTTAGAAAAAATGCTATTTCATCATTAATTATATTGTGTTAATTATTTTGTTTCTTAAATTGATGGTAAGTTAAAATAAATAGGATTTCTTTGCGTAATAGGCTTAAAGTTCTCTTCATAACAGGTAATGTCACCTTTCATTGTCTCATTTTTGTGTTGTAAGTAATACTTTTTTTAAGTTGGTCTATAGGGTTTAGCCAAAATACAATGTTTGAAGTGGATGAAAAAGGTATACATTCAAGGGTAGGAACTCCGTGTCGTTGGCTTGGAACAGGAGAAGGAACTGGGTGGTTTTATCCAGTAGGAGAGAGAGAGAGAGAGAAAAAAAGCCCTGAAAGAAGTATAAAAATAGAAATACACAATTATCCATTGGACATAAAAAAATCCTTCTATTTCATTTTAGACAATGTTCGCAAAAATGTGTCTAATCCAAACACGTGTCATTATCGAGTATGCTGCACCTGTTATTTTTTTTAATTAAGCACCTTTTAACGTTATTCTAAAAATATACATTATGATAAGAAGGTGTTTTAAAGCCACAGTAGCCACAGTAGGCTGCGCGACGTCGCCGCGTCCGCGCACGCTGCTCATGAGGAAGAACCCCTCTGTGATTCGAAACTAGTAGAGCTTTTCTCAACATGTACACGTGAGTAACCCGCGAATTTTAGTTAATTTAGTATGTCTCACGATAGTTATTATAAAAACATGTTTTAAAGCCTTATGATACCAGAAATATTGAATTCAGTTTTCCTTTTTTAGTCAATAAGAGTCTAACACTTCCTCTCACACCACTCAGGGCGGTAAATATCATTGTTTTTCAACTCTTTCAAAAAAAAAACAAAAAAGATTTACAGAGGATAAAGAATAATTTTGATGCCAAAAAAGGAGTACTTAATTTGCAATAGGACTTCTTTAATATATCGTATACATTTTTTATGTTAATTGAGGTCTCATCTCCTTTCTCGTCATCCAAACATTTAAAAATGTACTTAATGTACTTATATATTTATATTGACAAACATTTTAAAAATTAAACACCCGTATTATTGCTTTCAGTATTTACTTTTAAACCCTTTAAACCTTAAATATTGACCATTGTACCCAAATTGATTTTACACAAAGCTTTTAAGGTAATATTGAACCTGATGTTCCATATTGTATCGTTTATTTATTTATTTTATCGCTGGACTAGAGGTCGCAAGGCCAACCAAATAAGGTGCCTCAAAAAATATTTCAACTAAGCCGTACACAGACTTAACTTCTCCCTTCCAGCTTGGGAGAAGTCATTTGATGATTTCCTCCAAGCAGTCGGTTCATAAATCACTATCGTAATTGAATATTTGAGAACTAGTCAAATCCAATGTTTTTTTATCATCTCTACTAATATCTTTTTATGAATTTTGTAGGGTAATCTCTGAGGCTTTTTTCCTCTTAAATATTGTAAAAGTACTTATGTACTTGCAGATATACTAATTATTTCTTGAACTAACACTGTGTAAATTAGAAAAAAAAACATCGGTAATATAACATTTGAATCAGTCAAGTAGCCAATTGTGATTATAAGTCATAAAAGTTGAAGAAAAAAATAACTTGAAAAACAAAAATCAACACACCAGTGCAGATCGACAACTAGCGCATCATGCTACCCAATTTTACACAATACAATTTCGACTTAATTTTAAAAGCAATAAAGTTAAATATACCTTGATGAATTGTAACAGTTTAGCTAGCTACACAAGCCTGTACAATTCTTTGTGTCTGACTCAGTACTTGTTTGTCGTAAATATTTATTTAGGCTTCTCGATTAGTAGAAAACGGAAAGATATTTGTATTTGTCGTGTTTTTTTTTTTGTTTTTAAGGTTCTTTTGTCAATGCTACCTTGGAAACTATGTATGTGTTCTATGTAAACTAGCTATTAAATATAAATCGGCAAAACGTTGCCCGTTTATGGTGGTCTAATGGCTCTTTGAGGCGTGCGCGCCGTACGCTCGGGTCTGGTTCTGGTCGGGCGGCGAGCTACCCTTACTCGCCGTCCGCAGACCCGTGTTTTCAGTTTCCGGAGATCAACGCTCGATCGCTGGCGATGACTGGATTGTTGGCGCTGCGGCTGCAGGGAATAATTTTTGTATTGACCAACAGGAGCAGCCTGTTTCAACCACGCGGTAGTAGCTAGTGAAGACAATCCGATAGTTTCCAACTAGCCAAATTCAATATTTTATTAAAGTGTCAAAAAATTGCGATATTATTCTATGAGACTTCTATGAAATCGCAACATAATATGTCCGTAATATTTTTACGATAAAATAGCATAGTTAGGTACTTCTGAAAATGTAGCTAGAAATATACCGTCAAATCAACCAAAGAAAGTATGATTATATGAATTTTAATAACTCATTGTATTTAAAAGTCAAAATAATTTAATTTTAATATAGGAAACTATTCATATAAATATACTTTCTGGTTTCGCATAAAGTCACGTTACTTACAAAAGTAAGTGCGTACAATCTATTGCGGCAAGCAAAATCTTTGTAACATTATTTTTTAACGGTGAAATGAAGAAATTTATGTTGGCACGGTGGCACCATTTTTTTGTACATCTCTTAGAGGTTTATACTTTCACTCCATCTAGTTGTGTGCTATCAAATGATAAATTATGCTAGTACAGTTCATTGTTAAGTTAAACTGTAAATAAGTCGGTTCCTACTTACTTCTTTTTTAACCGAAAATAGGGGAGAATGTGCTGCTTTTGTATTCGTTTATAATGTTTTGAATTTTCAAAAGCTTCTATCATTTATGCCAGTGTGAATATTGACATAGTCGGTTTTTGTTACTATCTTTTTTTTATTGTTGTTTTTAACATGTTACCTACTTTATCCAAATTGATTTAGCTGTTTTCGAGATTAGCGCTGTAATATTTTTTTTTAAACTTTAACGGCCTATATCTGTGTAATAATGAATTTTCTGTTCTGTTACAGGTTCGTTCCCGTTTCAATCAAACTTCGCAGTTTCTACTCACCGACAGTTTAAATGTATGTATTATGAATATTAACTATTTTGTATAAGAAGTACATAAATTGCAAACGGTGTATCATAAATCACACTTTCATATAATAATCGACCATAAAATTTCTTTTACCAAGGTTGAATGTCATTTGCACATTATAAAAAACAAGGTCTAGGCAGGCTGTGTATTTATTTTTAAACTTCTTGCTGTTTCTTATGTACGTATCTACATATAATCTTCCACAATTTTATTCAAGTACTAGTGCCAAATTATCCAAGTAGTGGTACTCTATTCTTACGAGGTTAGGCGAAGCTGATTTGCTGTCAGACGTAAGGGAGAGAGATTTAATAAGACGCCACCTTGATTATATTTGCCGTTTGCCATGCCAAATTTTAGGAATACCAGCTTACCAATGGATCTGAAATTTTGATAAAGGTAAATTGATATCTTTATCTAGATTCTGTCTGAACGAAAACACGATACTGATAATTTTACTCGATCATAATTAATTCCGAAAACACGTCTAAAAAAGTACTATTTTTGAAATTACAGGTAAGTTACACTATCTTTATGTTTCAAAATTACTCTAATATATTCGTCGAAATATGGTTTATGTAAGGCATTATGCCTAGATTGAAAGATGAAGACTAATGTTTATTTAAATAACCATCGTTTAGATTTATTCAAAAGATGTGTTCTTGCTTTTCTATTAGAATCGAATAGTTCTGTTAGACGATACGTTGAATTGAGCTATTCCTGTGACGTCACGAATCGGTAATTTTTTTTGCCGAACAGTGACGTAGCTCCCTCCTCCGACTACACTCATATCGTTTTATCTAAATGTCTTTTTCTTATACCATTTATTTATTTCAAAAAGTGTATTTAACACGGAAAAAGTCACATTGATACTTGTCAAGTTTCCAAGTATTGGAATTGCGTGGCATGCCTTGGCCTATAGGACAAGGAATGGGGTGGTTTTAGTCAGTTAGACCTGACACTCTCTTGTCTCACTCGGAGACGAGAGAATACATTTGATGATATTCCCCCTCAAAAAGAAAACCACCATTATCTTTTCAATTTTCGACTTAGTATAAATCAGAAGTAGTAAATTAGGTATAATCATGGCCTCTCAAACAATAGAATCTGTATCACATGTCGATTTATAAGTAATTTTGTTACACTAATTGTATATTCTCTTCATGCTTCACGTACGCAAAATGTTAAAGTTTTTTTTTTATTTTAAAAAGGCGCCATTGACGCGGTCCCATTAGTTATTTCGCGGTTTTGTATATGTATTAATATTAATCACGTGTGCTTGTATAGTGAGAGATTGATAAATGTGTCTCCTTTATATTACTTACGTAATATTAGGTACAATAGGAGGTAAAGCTATGCAAAATGTTTTTGTTGCTATGTGCGTTACTTGTAAATGTATAAATTCAAGTTTCATTTTGTCCGTACATACCGTATCGTTTATTCACTTTATCGTATTTAATTTTGGAAAAATCTTAACATGTGTGAGTAATTATGGTGGGTATTTAGTCATAAAGAGTCTAACACTCCCTAACTCCCGCCCGGCCCTGGGCGGGAGATGTCATTAGATGATTTTCCCCTCACAAAAAAAACCTTTCTGGTAGTATTTATTTATTAAAAAATTCAAGTTTAATTTTTTGATGATTTATTTCGACTATGAATACCAGGGCAGATGTCCTCGGGTATCTGTCATAGAAGTGCTATTGTCCATTTTTTTTTATAAATGTTACGATGGTGTATTTATTTGCGTCAGAGATGGATATTAAGATTGTAATTCTGCGGCAATGAATTGCTTGGTCTCATCATCATAGTACATAGATGTTTAACAATAAAAAATCTACGATTTGTGACAAAACGACAAAATTGACTGATGTATGACTAGCATGTTTTGAGAGTTTGCGTGCGGTGATAAAATGGTTACTTTAAGTAGACCCATCGGTAGGAAATGTAAGTAATTATTTAACAATAGCTTTGTTCTGTTTAGAAAGAAAAAAAGCTCTTGCCCGAGATCGAATCGAAGATCTCAAGATTTCAGCTCATTTCTTTAATAAAAATAAAAGAAAAATCATAACTGTTTTTTCAAGTTTTCAAATGATGCAAAAAGATAGAAGAAGAAATAGTTATTATTTCAGCTGTCTCTTTCAAAAAATCTGCTTAGGCTGGATCCGAAGCCCATAGCGAGTCTTTCGCCAAAAGATACTGAATGCTCAAATGTATCAGGTAATCATATCTCGTTGTATCATTTGCCGCCCTATCCCAGAAAAACCAAAATATATAGTCTTATAATAACTAACAAAATAAATAAAAAAAAAACAGTTACATCTGCCAATATAAATCAAGAAAAGAAGGGCTGTTTACTTGTCACCATAGCAACCGATTTATTATAACATTTTAATGTATAAAGGAAACAAGACTTGGCAACTATATACTACGTCAATATATTGAATACCTAATTAATTATCTCATTGTCTGTCTGTTGTCGGACATATTAACGATATGGTTCTAACTTTAGCTGTCACGGCTTCCTCGGAACATAGTGTTGTTATTTTTACTATCGAGTCATTTTATGATGTATTTTGTGCCAATTTTCGTGGTTATACATTTAGATGTAAGGAAACGAAGGTATACTTATAAAATATTCGCTAAATAGTCTAACTGAAACTTATCTGCGGGTACTGAAACTCGCATTTATAGCAATAAATGTCTATATTTAGAATAAAAACGGTCGAAGCACACTTCCTAATTTGAATGTTGTACAGTAGTGAGTTTGAAGCATGCCTGTCATCTATTATTTTACGTAAAAACTACTCTGATATTTTGATGCAATTTTTCAGTTACGATTATAATTTTGGACGTATTATTGCCTGTTGCGTAAATTTAAAACAATTTCTAGTTTCTAGAAGGTTCTTTTAAAAAAATGTCCTTGTCAAATATTCAAGTTCCGATATAAATTAACAGTAAACTAAGCATTTCCATGGTAATTTTACCGAACTAATGTTAATTATTATTATTATGTTTGTTCTTTCCTTTCACGGGACCACAGGGTCCCGGACCTTTGGAAGGCATACGAGGAGCCGAAGCCAACTCGCAGAGGCCCGTTGAACAATGTTAATCTAAGTGTGATGGGACATCAGCCGGCTGTGATGGGACATCATAATTATTATTACAATACATATATTTATTAAAATCGCTCTAAAATTACATTTTTAAATATTACTATAAAATAAAATAATATTTAAAAATATAAAAGTAGGAGCCAGCTGGCAGCGGGAGCAAGGTCCAAGCTGCCGGCGGTTAGGGCTCCAGAGACAAGAACCTCCTCACAATACGTGCCGTTTCAAGGAGGACTGCCTTCTGTATGAGGCCCTTGATCCATCCGCCTAACGTCAGCCTCTTAAGGTGGTTGTCGAGGCTTTTGGGGACTAACCCGTTTGCCGACACAACTATCGGCACAACGATGGCCGAGTCCACATTCCACATGTCAACAACCTCGTGAGCTAAGTCAAGATATTTCAATTGTTTATCTTTCTCAGCTTTCACGAGGTTCTCGTCATGAGGAATGGCAACATCGATTATCGTCGTGCGACGCGCTAGTCGGTCTACCACCACTATGTCAGGCTTATTGGCTACAATAGTCCTGTCTGTGATGATAGACCGATCCCAGTACAATGTGATATGGTCTTTTTCGAGAACTGGGTCGGGCACATACTTGTAGTACGGGACCTCAGACTCAACAAGCCGGTATTTCAAAGCAAGTTGCTGATGGATAATCTTGGCCACCTGATTATGTCTGTGCAAGTATTCGCCATTAGCCAAACGACCACAGCCGGAAATAATATGTCTGATGGATTCACCGGAGCTATGACATGCCCGACATATGTCAACCGTCCCATCCTTCATAATATATTTCCGGTAGTTATTCGTGAGGATAACTTCGTCCATAATTGCACATACAAATCCTTCAGTTTCTCCAAAGAGGTTACTGAATCGTAGCCAAGCTACGGACGCTAGAAAATCTATATCGGGCCCGTGGAGAGCCCGAAAGAAGCGTCCGTGGAGCTCCTTGCTACTCCATACCGCCTTGCGGTCATTGACGCTCAGTACTACGGGTTTGCACCAGTTCTCTTTAGCCAAGGATAGTGGTGTGAATCCCTTGTCCACTGTGACTACTTCTCGATGCATATCCTCGTCCACTTTCAGGAAATGTTCCCTGAGATTGCACACCTCACGGTTGTGAAGGGTCTTAGCGTTTAGAAAGCCTCGACCCCCACACTTCCGCGGGATGTACAACCTCATGACTGATGAACGAGGATGATGCATTCGATTTGCAGTCAGCAGCGTCCGGACTCGTCTATCCAGGATGTCAAGTTCAGTCTGAGTCCATTTGAGTATGCCAAAAGAATACATCAGGACCGGCATGACCCAACCGTTAAAGGCGCGTACCTTGTTGCCGCCTGATAACGAACTTTTCAGTACCTTATTCAGGCGGCCAAAGAAGCGCTCCTGTAAAGATTGTTTCATGTGCGGCCCATTAATACCCAATCCTTCCGACATACCCAAATACTTGTAGGTATCATTTGCGGAGAGTGATCTCAGTTTTGTGAAATCTGACAGCTCTAGACTTTCAGATTCCACTATCCCGCCTCGCTTTACATGCATGACCGCACACTTATCAACACCAAACTCCATTCTGATGGAACTACTAAAATTTTTAGTTATTTTTAGTAGTTCCATCAGCTCCTCCTTGTTTGGTGCAAACAACTTGAGGTCATCCATGTAAAGTAAGTGAGAAATAACGTGACCTTTTCTCCGCAAACGATAGCCCAGCCCTGAAGCCTCAAGTAAAGTACTGAGAGGATTCAAGGCCAAGCAGAACCATAGTGGGCTCAGACTATCACCCTGGAATATTCCTCGCACTATCCTTACAGGTTCTTCACTCCTTTGGATTTGCTTACATCCTGGGTAGGAAAGCACCGTGCTCCACTGCCTCAT